AGGAAGCTCGGTGGCTCTTTCTGGACAGTGGGGGAGCCCCCGCAGCTACCCATGTCTGTCCCCGCCAGCACAAGCCTCTAGTTCGAGGGCCCTTCCCTTCCACTGCAGCACAGAAAGGTGTTCACCCCCTGCTGGGTTCATGTGAGTCCAAGTTCTTCCCTGAGTTTGGTCATGTGAGAATGACTGGGGTGGGGCCAGGGATTGTCTGGACCTCTCCGCGACATTATGGCATCTTTCCTTTCTTTCTCATTTTTGAATTATTTTATTTAATTTCATTTTTTACTACTGTTCTTTTTTAAGTTGACCAGAGAGAGGCAAAGAGAGAGGAAAAGTGAGAAAGCAAGCTGCCAGGTCTGGGACCCGAACTGCTGTCACTCATGTGGGAATCCAAGACCTAACCACCATGCCACGTGCACCCCATTTTTTTCTTTCTTTTTTTTTAATTGCTAGAAGGTGCATGTGCTCACCAGAGAGAGCCAGAGAGAAGGAGAAATCACCCTCCCAGTGGGGTGTGGTCACACCGCAATTCCTCCTTCTCCATTTCTTCATCTTTTTTGGGATTTGGGAATGAGTGTATACATATCTGGTGCATTTTTCAAGCCACCAGGCCTGAGATTTGAACCACAGTCAGTCACGTAGGAGCCAGCTCCCTTAACCACGAGGCTATAGGGCTAGCCCACTATGGCATCTTTTCTCCCACTCTGCCAGCCAATGGGGAAGCTGAGATTTCATTTGCCTCTGCCTGCCTCAAGCCAGGCTGCCACACACCAGACCTGGCCAGTGCCAAGCCTGGTTCCAGAAGCCAGCTCTCCACATGCCCAGGGGGACTCCTCTTCACTGCTTAGGCCCGCCTGGTTATCTGGTGTTCAAATCAACAAGTCTTGGCAGTGGCTCAAACCTATAGCCCCTCCTGCCAGGGAGCCAGTATGAACACCTCCCTCTTGTTTTATATTGCGGGACTCGGGAGACCCAGCAGGTCACTGTTCAATGGTGGAGACGGCTGCTTCGGCGGCAAGACGCATCCCCAAGGGCTCACCCACAGACATCACGCTTTTTCCATTGGCTTGTTATCGCTTGATGGTTCGAGTCTGCGCTGTCATTCTGATTTTATCTGTTCTGTTGCAATAAGGCCTTGGTGCCTGTGGGAACCAGAGGGTGCTGCTCAAATGTGCTTGGCATTCCAGCTGAACAGCAGAGGCACACTTCACCCTGATCACTGGCCCCAAATCCCACCCAGTAGAGTCAGACGGGAATCAAAGGCCGGCTGGCAGGGGCCTTCTTGAAGATCATTGCTCAGCCTTCTTGTTTCACAAAGCACGAAAACTAGGACACAGAAAGGGATGACACACCTAGCATTAGGGACAGCTCTGGACTCTAACCTGTGTCTGTGGTTCTGACACCAAGGCACTGGTGTTGGCCATACTGATCAGCACAGGCCTGCAGGCTTCTCTCAGGCACGGTCAAACCTGGTGATTTTTTTTTTTTTTAATTTGCCAGCGGGCATGTGGACTTGCTGGAGAGAGACAGAGAGAAAAGGGAAGCAAGAAAGCACCCTCCATGGGGAAGTGGTCATCCAGCAATCCCTTCTCCTCCATTTCTCCCTCTTTCCATTCTGGGCACCTACATGCACATGCGCCTGGCGTGTTTCTCAAACCCCGGGGTCTGGGACTTGAACCGCACACTCAGCCAGGTGGGATCCAGTGCATGTAAACACGAGGCACAGACAGGCCACCTAGTGCATTGGCTCTCCACATGCTCCTGCCAGTTTTGGGAGCTCCTCTGCCACCACTTCCTCTGTTGTGCTTCTCCTTCTTTCTCTGTGGGGCTCCGCACCACTTTTCCCACTCCTTCTCGCCTTGTTGGCTCTTCCCACCTTTGTCTCATTCTCCCTCCTGTTGTCTCTATTGTCTTTCAACCCCGCCCAGCTTTCTTTACCAGAGGAATGGTTTCTTTTCTCCCCAGATGACAGCGACACATCCTCCGATAGCTTGGACTACTCTAGCAGCATGCCTCCCACCTGCCAGGTGAAGGACACGCAGGTGGACCTCCAGGTGTGGTCTAGGGGCCCTGCTGTAAACCCTGAGAACTCGGGCCACCCCGCTGTGGCCGTGGGAGCAAGGAAGAGGGCCTCTTGAGTCATTCAGCACCCTTAGGTGAGGGTGGCCAGACTTCCACCCCTAGCCCTGTCTCAGCCTAGAGCAGCCAAACAACGTGGGTGAGAGCAGACTAAACGTGAGACTGCAGTGGGACACCCTTTCTCTCCACACCCCAGTCACTGGGCCAAACTTCGCTCCAGGCCCTGACTGCACTCAAACTAAGTTTCTGCATCGTCTCCTCCCATCACCTCCCACCTGTTCACCCTTAAGCCCATTTCGTGCAGACAGGTGGGACAAAGTCACTGGCAATCCAGGGCCTTCCCACCAAGCTGGGGCCAGCCTCTTGGAGTGAGTTTGGTCTTGTGATCCTGCCTCCTGCAAACACAGCAGGGATCTTCATCCACATGTCTCTGCTTTTCTCCTAAGGCCACCAAGGATGTGGATTACACACAAGTGGCCTTTTTATCCCCCAGAGGACTGAAAAACGTATCTTCCCTGGACTATGAGAACATGACAGAGGCTACAGATTATGTCAATGTCGACCCAAAAAGCCGCAAGCTCAATCTCTGGACGTGCGTGAATCCTGTTGTCTTCGAACCAGTGGAATACTCTCAAGTAGCCATGTGAATTCCAGATGTTTTAATGGGACGCAGTTCTCTATGGAGTCCTGAACTTTTTTGTTGCATAATTTCTTTCTTTTTTTCCTCCCTCCTACCTTCCTTCCTCTTTCTTTCTTTCTGTCTTTTTCTTAAAGGCACAGAAGGAACAATAAGACTATATCCTGCAAGAAAGAATCAGATCAGATGTTAGGAAGAGCAGCCAAGTACAGTTTGAAAACATTGGAAAATATCAGTAGAGAAAGTAGAACAATTTATAAAAGTTTAAATTAGCTGTTGTAGAGTTACATTCGACCATCTTATGATTAAACGATTCTCTTAGAACTCATTCATTATTGGCTGTGAACAACTTCCTTAGAAGTTTTAAATAATATTGCAAACACAGTTCCTTTTTCCTCTTGCCTAACCCCGCATGCTGTCCCTCTGGCCGGTGACTGTTTTGCTGAGTAACCCTGCTGTGCTCACAAAATTTTAAACAGTCCATTTAGAGAGCCAATCAACAATCAGCCTTTGAATTCACTGTTTCTTATGAGTGAAAGATGACAAATAGAAAGCTTTGAGGTTTCTCTGTGTGTGTGCCAGAGGGTGTGTCTACTTACCAGAAAGAGAGAGCGAGAGAAAGACGGGCAGAGAGGCAGGGGGGCAAACGCCCTCCCTTGCAAGGTGTGATCATGCTGCGATCTCTTCTCCTCCATTTCTCCATCCTGTCACTCCATCCTGTCAGGATTTGGGGCATGCACACACATGTGCCTGGTATGTTTTTCAAGCTACCTAGACTGAGGCTCAAACGGCAGTCAGCCATGCGGGATCCAGTTCCCTTAACCCACTAGGCCATAGGGCTGGCCCCTGAGATGATTTCTTTCTTTCTTCTAACTCTTTTTTTTTTCTCTGTAGGACATGGGTGCTCACCCAAGAGAGACAGAGAAAGAAAAAGTGAGAAATCGACCCCTAGGGAAATGGCCACACCACAATCCCCTCTTCTCTATTCTCCTTTTAGGATTGTAGGCACACAGACACACACACCCAGTATGATTTTCAAGTCATAGGGTCTGTGACTCATGCTGCAGTTGGCCATTTGGAAATCTAGTGCCTTAACTACTATGCTCCCTGCTTTTTTATATAGGGCACGTGTGCTCTCCAGAGAGACAGAGAGAGACAGAAAGTATGAAATCACACGCCCCTCCCAGGGAGGGTGGCCATGCCACAATCCCTTCTCCATCATTCTCCTCTTGGGATTTTGGGCATGCATGCACACGTGCCCAGTGTGAGTTTTAAGCCACTGGGTCTGGGACTTGAACTGCTGTTGCCTTAAGTGGGAGAGAAGCGACATAACCATTATGTTATCTGCTGGTCTCAAGATTGTTTCTTAACTGTGTTCCCTCTGCTGGCTGGAAACGACCTTATAGCCCTGGTGTTGAGGTAGCTGGCTGGCTTTAATCTTTCCAGAGTCCTCTTCCTCAAGACCATCTGAAGAGAGTTCTGGTCTGAGTTTCTGGGGCTAGAAATGCTCTGCTGATCCTTCACCTTTTAACTCCCAGTGCTTCCTCTCCTTAGAGAGCTTTTCTTAGTGGAGATAGAGAGTGTCCACTGATCAGGGAGGCGGAATGAGGAATAAACACCCACAATAATACCAGCCACGCTGCCTTGTCTCAAGAAATGGAACTCTGCTCTTTACTGAACTCTTTTAAAAAGAAAACGTTCAGCAGTATGCAGAAGAGTTTCAGACAAGTTACAGTGCACCAAGGACAGACTCTGCAGGGACATTGCTGGTGCGGTTCTCAGACCGAGAGGCATCAGTTAGGGGAGCACAGACAATGCATATTTTCTGCAGATTCCTGCAAGAGGCTCTGGGGGTCGGGAGGGAATGTAAATAAAATGAAGACTTGATCCTCTGGGATCATCAGGGTGGGGTCAAGGTATCTCTGACCTAGTTGTGGGGACAGGGAAGAGCCAGAGAATATGTACAGGACAACGTGTGACAAACAGAAACTGCACCCAGCAATGAAACCAGAGCTACTGTGTTTAGAAGATGTGGTGGTGGTGGTGGGGGAGGGAGACTGGTGGGCTCAGCTGGACTTCATTAGAGAAGATATAGCAGAGTGAAGGCTTCTGACCACAACTTAGAAAAAAAGGTAGAAAAAATAGGGACTGGCAGTTGGCATAATGGGTATGTCTCTGGATTCCCATGTAGCCAACTGCGGTTTAAGTCCTGGACCTAATGGCTTTACACTCATACCAGGCGCGTGTGTGTGTGTGTGTGCCCAAGATCCCGAGAGGAAAATGGAGGAGAAGGGATTGTGGCGTGGCTATCTTCTCCAGGAGGTGATTTCTCGCTTTCTATCTCTCTGTCTCTCTCTGGCTTTCTGGTGAGTGCACGTGCCCTATAGCAAAAACCTCTCCAAAAAAAAAAGAGAAAAATCAGTGGGTGGGATAAAAGGCAGAGGGAAAGAAACAGGCCTAACCTGGCACCACTCCATTTATGCTGCAGGACTGACCTGAGCTGAACTGCGCCTGGGCTCAGAGTCGGTGGGACACTCCAGAGTAGGGAGACCAGAGGCTGTAGAGGGCACAGGTCATCTGGTTAAAGTCTACAATGAACACTGCTGCAAAAGCGTGGCATGTAGGGCACTGCTGCAAGATACTGGAGTCACAGGGAGGCCTCGGTCCAACCCAGGGCCAGCCTGAACACACAGGCAAGCCATGTCTGACTGTGATCCCGGCAGGCTGGAAGTCAAGGGGAGGATCACGGCATGGTGTGAGCCTGCTGAGAGACATACCTCTCTCTCTCTCTCTCTTCCTCTCTCTTCTCGCTCATAATAAATAAATAAAAACTTGTAAGTGTGACGTTTTATAGAAAGTATATCACACAGGTTAACATTAGCACCCATCCTTGTTACCGCTAAGGGGAAGGCATTCTTGGAGAGTGCTGCTGAAGAGGAGTTGAAGGCGTGACCCCACCAAGTGACGTTCGGAGTTCTGAACTTCGGTGGTGCAGATGACTCCTCTGAGGTCCTGATAAGGAAAGAGGAAGCCTATTTTTCACTTCCTAAGGAGTCTGAGCCAATAAGCTGATGGCTAGGGCCAGCTGACAGTTTGAACTAACCGCAAAGTCATTGTGAGCCATGTTGCTAGAAATAAAATGGGCTTTTGTTTGTGATACTCTGTGAGCTCAGGTCAGCTGCCTCGCCCCGTCCAGTCCCCTGTATGTACAGTCACCCTTTGAGACGCATCATTTCCAGCTCAGTGAAGTCACATTCTCCCAGGTCTTAGTCATATGTCATTGGTTCCTCAAGGAACGATTGCGCCAGTCCTTCCCTGGGTGAGGACTGAACAGAAATTGCTTTAAAATTACTCAGTAATGTGATACAGAGAAACCGACTTGCTATTGGCAACCAGTAGATGGTTGATTACACACCAACAATGAACTAGAACTACAGGCTGCAGTGAACCACCCATCTTTAGTGAATTCTTTCTTTTCTTAAAGAATTATGTATTTGGACCAGCCGCTGGCATGATGGTTAAGGCTCTGGATTCCCACACGGCTGACCACAGTTCAAGTCCTGGACCCAGTGGCTTGAAACTCACACCAGGCGAGTGTGCAAGCATGCCCACAATTCCAAGAGGAGAATGGAGGAGAAGGGATTGCAGTATGGCCATCCCCCTGGGGGTGATTTCTCACTTTCTTTCTCTTTGCCTCTCTGGTGAGTGCCCACATCGTATAGCAAAACTCTCTCTCTCTTAAAAAAAAAAAAAAAAGAGGAGAATTATTATTTATTTTAAATTTGCTATAGGATATACATGTTCACCAGAGAGAGACAGGGGAGAGAGCTAGAGAATAGGAAAGTGAGAAACCAAGTCACCAGATCTGGGACTTGAACTGTGGTCAGCCATGTGGGAGCCCAGTGCACCTTAACCACCACACCACCTGTTGACCCCAGCGAATTCTTATTCTAAAGGAGTAGGCATCCAAATGCCTATCATGGGAATGGCAGGAGGATTCCTTGAGTTTCTTTGTTATTACTACTACTACTATTATTATTATCCCACTTACTTATAATAGTAAGAAACTGGAAATATCATAAATGTCCAACAACAAGAAATTGATTTTTAAAAAACATGTAACCATTATTTTAAGCCATAAAACAATTATGAGCAACCCTTAAAATAAATTCTGGGCTGGCTCTTTGGTCAGTAGCACAACACTGCTCAGGAGAAACTAGATCCCACACAGTGAGCATGGTTCGAATCCCTGACACGGTCTACCTGAAACACAACAGGCTTGCATGACAGTGCCCAGGCTCTGAAGGACTGGAAAAGGGGACTGTGGCATGACCAGACGCTGTAGAGTATATGTATTCCTCTCTCTCTCTCTCCCCCTCACATGTGTGCATGCATGCATTCGATCCTGAATTTAAAAAAAAATACATTGTGAAAATATTTATCTTTGTTATTACTACTACTACTATTATTATTATCCCACTTACTTATAATAGTAAGAAACTGGAAATATCATAAATGTCCAACAACAAGAAATTGATTTTTAAAAAACATGTAACCATTATTTTAAGCCATAAAACAATTATGAGCAACCCTTAAAATAAATTCTGGGCTGGCTCTTTGGTCAGTAGCACAACACTGCTCAGGAGAAACTAGATCCCACACAGTGAGCATGGTTCGAATCCCTGACACGGTCTACCTGAAACACAACAGGCTTGCATGACAGTGCCCAGGCTCTGAAGGACTGGAAAAGGGGACTGTGGCATGACCAGACGCTGTAGAGTATATGTATTCCTCTCTCTCTCTCTCCCTCACATGTGTGCATGCATGCATTCGATCCTGAATTTAAAAAAAAATACATTGTGAAAATATTTAATCACACCAAGAGAGCTAACTTAATTTCATAGTCTGTTATCCCAGCGTCTTCCTAGCTATTCTCTCTGTTCTCTCTTCAGACCTCCTCTACCTCTTCACCCATCCTCACTCAACCTAACCCTTATTGAGGTTCTTATTTTATTGAGAAAATGCAATCAATCGGGAGAAATTCTGGAGTTTGCTAGCACATTTACTCACCAGCCATCATCTCCACCTTACCAGGGATCTTTAAAAAGTTTATAGAAAA